CAATTGGACTTGCGGTTTTCAACAAGAAGTCGAAAATATCACTTTTAACCAAAAATGACAAAAATATTCACCAAAATTAGAGAATTAAAGATATCATTACAAAATGAACAAATCTGCGAGAGGTCCACATGTAGTACCTATATACGTAATATCAAAGCAATTGGACTTGAGGTTTTTAACGAGTAGTCGAAAATATCACTTTTACCAAAAATGACAAAAAATATTCACCAATATTAGAGAATTGAAGATAACATCATGAAATGAACAAATCTAAGAGAGGTCTACCCAAGGTACATATACAGCAAGTATCAAAGCATTCAGGCTTGTAGTTTTCAAGAAGAAGTCGAAAAAGTAAAACATTGACACGGACGACGACGGACAATCACTCATATGATAAGCTCCGCTCGACAAAGTCAACAGCGGAGCTAAAAAGGACAAGGCATAAACAAACAATTAAATTGATGTGGCCATACAGTCAGCAAAATTCATTACATCCACAAACATATAAACACATATTAGAATTGATGTGGCCTAAATCAAGTCAGTCAGTCAGGGGAATTCATTTCACTAATAGAGATTCTGAAAGCATACATGTTAAATTGCTTTTCTTATTTCCTCTGAGACTTCTTTGTTCTTACTTCCTTGAAGTAATACTTCCATCATCTTATCCACACTACCATCATCACACTTTTTTTTTACTCTCACACTATCATACTTGGAAATATCATTAAATTTTTACAAGGGAGAAAAGGGTTGGATTTCTAAAGTCAGTCCTCATCAGTTATATACAGTTACCATAGAAACCATATCCTTACCAGGTCATTAGCCCAGGCGATAAAGTGGGATCTCCATTGGATGGTTCGAATAGGTCCTTCTCCCTGGTGGAGAACAGTTGTCTTCAATCGATTCAGCCACCCTCTTTCATTAAGTACTAACTGAATTAAAACACATAAACAGACTGTTTTACTGAAATGTTCGTGACATGAGCAACCGATAAAATTATACAATTCAGTGAAAACTGATCGGAAAATATACTTTACCATTACAAGTTTATATTTCCATTTACAGATACACCCACTGTGATAAAATGTTACAAAAAGATAAAGTTTTTATCATCCACATCTGGGTTTTTTAGGTGGCATAAGAGAAAAAAGATGTTAACATGTTTTACCACCTCTGTGGAGAGGTTATCAGTACCAGCATTACTATTGCATAATACTTACACCAACTTAAAAACAGGTGTGAATACATCATGTCAGCATAAAGGAGCACATATTACATTATAGAAGAGGCTTAAATATAGCGAAAGCAAGATGAGCAACCATTCCCAAATGGAGTTGTACTAAGGTGTTTTGGTATTTTAAAACTGAATTTATGTGCCACAGACAAACATATTTACATTTATTTTTGTTGATTCACAATGTGTCTTGAATTTTAAGGCAGTTATGATTGTTTTATTGACCTGTGTATGTTAAACTTATTAGTTCTAGCATAGAGTTAAAAAAAAAGAGATTTTACATAGCCCAACTGGTTTGAAATATACACTAAAGACAGAAATATTTGGTCCAACGAAACATTGCCTATCTCTGAGTCAGTGCCATTGTGAGCATTATCCAGTGATTGCCATATTCACGCAATATTTATGTAAGAATTGCTGGTGTGAACACAAGATGAAATCCTCAATTTTTAAATTCTTAGTAGTGTTTATTATGGCTTTGCATTCAATCGTTGGAAACGTACATATCGAAAGTACAACCTTTATTTCATTTTTGGTGTTTAAATTAGAAATTAAATTCTACAAATGTGATCACATAATTTATTGTGTTCAAGTGTGGAACACTCCTATGATGCAAATACTTTCTATTTTAGTAATATTCCTCACAATTCCTTCGCTTGAAATCTGATTGAATACTGTTTTCCTAGAAAAACACTGCCCACAAAATCAAACATTAATGGACACCATCTGCAATGTGATTCGGGACAGAGATATTCAACAGTTGTAATTTGAATATGAAATAATGATATTCAGTCATATTTACAACCATAATTTGAATTTTCACCAACAATGTAACACCCAAGTTATATTGGTAAAAAATATGTATTCCGTTGATGATTTTTATCACCCAGCACAATGATTGTGTCCAGGGAATATTGGAATATTACAAGGGAACTGACAGGAAAATAGCTGTTTACATAATAGACCATTTTCCGTACACTGCGAGAATCACACGTTAAAACAGGACAAACAAAGGTCATAGCGTCGTAGTGGCGTCAAACATCGCGTGGGATTCGACAAACGCGAAAGTATTTTGGGGACATTTCCATGCTTAATAATGTGCTGTTCACATTTGATGATAGGCAATTTTGATTAAGTAAGGGTATTCGGAAGCAATATTCCTCTGTCGAAGATCGGCCGGTCGGTGTGAGCTACGAAATAAGGAAATTCGAGTTCAAAATCAAATCGTTCGATTTTTGCGGCAGACGTTCGACGCGCGTCTTTCATGCATCTCGCGAGATCTCGCAATTGTACGGAAAATCACCTATTAGTTTATTTTGGCACCCACTATATAATACTGAACATCAAACGTCCAGTGGTTTATGTGAATTAGTTACATCAGTTTGTATAATTCTCCGAAATCTACATTCTATACATAATTGAATAGCAATAACTCAACAGACATTTTATTTAGCCAATCAAGTTAGCATTTGTCGCTGATATCTGCATTCACTGCAAAGCATTGCAATGAAGTAGTATTCATTTTACACACGGTCACAAATGACTGGAATGCATAATGACAAACATACATCAAAGAAATTGAAGAAAGTTATAATGTCAAAGCAGGTGTAGGATCTTTTATATTCTTAGCACATTAGAGTTTTTCGGTTTATTACTAATTCAATCACTCAAGCAAACCAATGCTGCTATGATTGAAAGAGGGTATGACTCATAAAGCTGCAGACATATTGTGTGAGTCATAGAAATGAGATACGTATATTGTAATGAAGACACATGAGACATTATTAGGTCACTTTGTTACCATGATTAATGTGAACATAATGGTTTGTATCAGTGCACAATTTTTACACAGATAACTGATTAACAGAAATAGCATAACTTGTTCATGATAGTGATTAGTCATTATTTTTTCATAGGGAGAAAGAAAAGTTATTATTTTAAGATGAAACGTTAATTTTTCTCAAATAAAATAATTGAAACAAAAACAAGCAGCATGTCGGCCGATATAGCTCCGCTGTTTGTGATGCATAGTCTGAAAGGATAGTCTGAAGCTGAATTGAAAATAACATCATAAAAATGACCATATCTGAAAGAAGTCCACTCAAGATATCTCATTAAACATTAAAATTCCAAATCTTTACACTGAGCTAAATGTTTCAATTCAGAAATGCTTAATTATTCACTAATTTACTAACCTATGATATGATATTTCAAACAAATCTTACCTTATTACCACCAGTTACAAACTGTTTCCCACTACTGGGTCGGGAAAACTTTGGATCTAATGCAATGGACTATTAACAGAAGAAAGATGAGCAGTTAAGTAGTGTGAAAATCAAATTTTAGTTTTTTTATAAATCGGCAATTTTTATGAATCACATTTAAAAAGTTGGTCATTCATCAATAATGATATTGAACAGAAATAACTTGTGTCCACAAAATATTGATCATTATCCATAATTAAATTTTAATACATCATTTTATATACATATTACAGGGCCTTAATTCCCATTCTGGGGCTATAAAATACCTTGACAGGGTAATCTAAAGCCTGTAGTTGATTATCTTCTGTTTCATATAATCCATTTATAGCAACCTATAAAAAAAAATGAAAAATGGCCAGATTAGGTCAAATCATTAGAAAAGATAACAAAAGTTTTTCCTCGTTTTTCACAGTTGATCGAATACATACTTTTTGTACAGGTCAAACATCCATTAAAATGCTACATTTTGTGGTATTTAATATGCATAAATAGCATCTGGTTATATATTATTAACAATCGTATGTTTAAGATGGGAAATTCTGAAGAATACTATTAAGTTTTATGAAACCAAAGAAATTTGTCAAATAAAATATTTGATACAGAAAAAAGAAAAAAAAAAAAAAATTATAATGTGTAAAATCAATAATTATGCAACACTTTCGGAGAAAACAATTATTATAAATTGCTATAGATTTTGAATGTCTGTTAATGACCTTAATACAGAATGTTTGTAATCAACAAAATATATTTGTAATTCAACATGTTCTAGTCATTGGAAATTAATAATTTTTTAATTAATTTTTGCTGTTTATATTGGCACTTGATTCATATACACTTGCATAATAATAAAATGATTATGACAACTGTTGTAGTACAAACATTATGTTACAATAAAATGTACCCACAGGTTAATTAGTATGTACATTATATACAAACAAATTGGGCGGTGATATTATTTCAGAAAATCTTTCCCAATTTTAGGCGATGTTTATGACAAGAAAAGACAGCCAGACCTCCCCCAGGGATTCAGAAATTTCTGTAATAATTTATGAGTCATTCATTGAAATAAATAAATATCAACAGTATTCATAAAATGATCAAATGAGATGAATTATTCATAATAGAATGTGTATAAATATGAATAATTGATAAAGCATGAAAAATCATACAAAAACTGACTGCTTGGGGAATTAAATGTGTCGTGGATTGGTCTGTCGGGTAATGTCACACAACCATGGAACTCTTAGTTAGTAAGAAAAACTGATGCTTCTTATATAGTTATGAATATCATTTATTATCTGTGCATCCATTACAATGCCCAGACACAAGGAATGTTAGTTGTTCACACCTCCAAGCTACACCTATATGACAAGCCAATTCAGTTTCTGAAAGTCGCTATGAAACTTGTTGAATTATTAATTCAAGTTCAATGTTCAAGAACGTCAATCATAATGTCAGTGACTTTCCCTAAATTTTATCTTCACGTATATTATAAAATCCTCAAAACTTGAAAATTCCAAGCGAGTAAAATTTAAAATTTAAGTACCACATAGCTATAACACTGACATCGTGAAATGCACCACTGCACTGTGTATGGTGACGGATTATACATCAGCTTTTCATCAGCTGTTGTAAATACTGATCAATAACATTCACACTGTCTTTCAATGTTGTATGACATGCATCACAACAGATGCCATATGTTAACATTTCTTTTCACTTTAAATAGAATACTGCAAGAATCAGCTGCTGTCATATACACACATACATGCAAGTTACAGTAACAATGACAATATCAAATGTTTCAGGTAGCAATGGGCAAAAATGAGTAATATCGTATTCAACCACATATAGTGCCCAGGAACTACAACTCCAAGCACCCTCTCAGAAAACAAGATCATGATACAAAGTTTGAATGAAACTGTCCAGCTCATCTTTGATGAGCAGTTAGGAACATAGAGACAGATTTTGAGGACCAAAATGGCCACCATTCAGCAGTACTTGTAATGAAAATTGATGTCCATATGTATGTCATAATGTGTGTTAAGTTAGATATGATCATGTCTGAAAAATTGCTTTTGACTTTGGTTGGACTTTGTCCAAAACAGAGACTGAAAACAACAAAATCCATCCATGCACAGTAAATGTGACCCAAGGATATAATATATAGATGCGTTTTTTTCTCCTTTTCACCTGTCTCTATATTAATCAAGTGTTGTCTCTTTCACGACTTTCTATCATAATCTAAATACTATTCGTGTGTAATTTCCAGGGACAAAATCAACAAATAATCTCATTTTGATTGCACAAAAAGCACAAAAAGTTCAGTTTGAATTAAGAAACCTATAGAACAGATGATTTTTTATCAACTCTAAGAGCTTGTGTGAAAAGCATGGACCAAACCGAACATCAGGTGCAAAATTACAAAAATTAGATTTTGAATTTCTGTTTTTATAATTCAATGTCAAAATGCCGATATTTGAGAGGGGAATAATCCATTGACATTGCTTTACTTCATCAAAATTGACGATCATTAAAAGTATTTGTAAAATCCTATTTGATGCTTTTACATCACTATGGCCCAACAATTTTTGTTTTTGTTTTTTTTGTGAAAAAATGTGGGAGCTCAGAGTGAACGAAAAATTATCTATTTCATAAACCGTTCTATTAGTATGCATGCACTTACAAACATGGCAGAGGTGTGTTTAACAATATAAGTCATAGATCCCATTACTTGTTAGAATTTCAAATTATAAAGCTTTAAAACTGAAATAATCTAGAAGGTAAACAACTATAAATATGTACCCTGCCATCATCAGAACAACTCGCTATGTAATCACCATTGTCATCTAGGCTGATTTGGTTCACTATTATGGTGTGCTGGAAAGAATTAAAGAGACATTGTTTCAATGTACATGTCAATTATATCAAATAATGAAGCGACAATAGCTGTAACTATCGACCATTTTTCTTCTGATTTTTATTTATATTAAAACATTTCCTGTTTCAATAGTATTGATTTGTAATGGCCATTATCAAAACATGGACACTGAAGACACAGTATAAAAGTCATGTCAAATGTGGGCACAAAGTCACTATATGTTTTTTGATATCGTTTATTATTACCAAGAAATTTAACTTCAAATTTGGGGTAAATTCTTTTAAGAGATTGGGGGGGGGGATAAATACGGTATATAGAACACTCCACACAGTAAAGGATA